GATAGTGAGGCTCAGGTTAGGGTGTGTAGAAGAGAGGGAGACTACTTCCCGGTAAAAGTAGGATGTGTAATGATGTGTAATGTCACCATGGTTGTTCAATATATTTATAGATGGGGTTGTAAAGGAAGTAAATGCTAGGGTGTTCAGGAGAGGGGTGGGATTAAATTTTGGGGAATCAAATTCAAAATGGGAATTGACACAGTTACTTTTTGCTGATGATACTGTGCTTATGGGAGATTCTAAAGAAAAATTGCAAAGGTTAGTGGATGAGTTTGGGAATGTGTGTAAAGGTAGAAAGTTGAAAGTGAACATAGAAAAGAGTAAGGTGATGAGGGTGTCAAATGACTTAAAGAAAAATTGGATATCAAATTGGGGAGGAGGAGTATGGAAGAAGTGAATGTTTTCAGATACTTGGGAGTTGACGTGTTAGTGGATGGATTTATGAAGGATGAGGTTAATCATAGAATTGATGAGGGAAAAAAGGTGAGTGGTGCGTTGAGGTATATGTGGAGTCAAAAAACGTTATCTATGGAGGTAAAGAAGGGAATGTATGAAAGTATAGTAGTACCAACACTCTTATATGGGTGTGAAGCTTGGGTGGTAAATGCAGCAGCGAGGAGACGGTTGGAGACAGTGGAGATGTCCTGTTTAAGGGCAATGTGTGGTGCAAATATTATGCAGAAAATTCGGAGTGTGGAAATTAGGAAAAGGTGTGGAGTTAATAAAAGTATTAGTCAGAGGGCAGAAGAGGGGTTGTTGAGGTGGTTTGGTCATTTAGAGAGAATGGATCAAAGTAGAATGACATGGAAAGCATATAAATCTATAGGGGAAGGAAGGCGGGGTAGGGGTCGTCCTCGAAAGGGTTGGAGAGAGGGGGTAAAGGAGGTTTTGTGGGCAAGAGGCTTGGACTTCCAGCAAGCGTGCGTGAGCGTGTTAGATAGGAGTGAATGGAGACGAATGGTACTTGGGACCTGACGATCTGTTGGAGTGTGAGCAGGGTAATATTTAGTGAAGGGATTCAGGGAAACCGGTTATTTTCATATAGTCAGACTTGAGTCCTGGAAATGGGAAGTACAATGCCTGCACTTTAAAGGAGGGGTTTGGGATATTGGCAGTTTGGAGGGATATGTTGTGTATCTTTATATGTATATGCTTCTAAACTGTTGTATTCTGAGCACCTCTGCAAAAACAGTGATAATGTGCGAGTGTGGTGAAAGTGTTGAATGATGATGAAAGTATTTTCTTTTTGGGGATTTTCTTTCTTTTTTGGGTCACCCTGCCTCGGTGGGAGACGGCCGACTTGTTGAAAAAAAAAAATATATATATATATATATATATATATATATATATATATATATATATATATATATATATATATATATATATATATATACACACACACACACACACCTACCATCTGACTTATGACCTGCTCGACTTACGACCACTCGACTTACGACCACTCGACTTACGACCGTGCTTTTTATGCCAAATTTCTGGGAAATAAACAACTATTTGTGTTGTACACAGTGTTTATCCTAAACCTTACAGTATAAAATACAGTACTAACAGCATAAAAAGTAAAGTAAAACATGAAATACCAAAATAAAACAATAAAATAAAGTCATTACAAAAATGTTTTGTTGATATTCAGTAGTAAAGTTCGACTTACGACCATTTCGTCTTACAACCAGTTTCTCGGAACCAAACTCGGTCGTAAGCCAGATGGTAGGTGTATATATAATTTATTTATTTATTTATTTATTTAACAAGTCGGCCATCTCCCACCGAGGCAGGGTGACCCAAAAAGAAAGAAAATCCCCAAAAAGAAAATACTTTCATCATCATCCAACACTTTCACCTCACTCATACATAATCACTGTTTTTGCAGAGGTGCTCAGAATACAACAGTTTAGAAGCATATACATATAAAGATACACAACATATCCCTCCAAACTGCCAATATCCTGAACCCCTCCTTTAAAGTGCAGGCATTGTACTTCCCATTTCCAGGACTCAAGTCCGACTATATAAAAATAACCGGTTTCTCTGAATCCCTTCACTAAATATTACCCTGCTCACACTCCAACAGCTTGTCAGGTCCCAAATACCATTCATCTCCATTCACTCCTATCTAACACGCTCACGCACGCTTGCTGGAAGTCCAAGCCCCTCACCACAAAACCTCCTTTACCCTCTCCCTCCAACGTTTTTGAGGACGACCCCCACCCCGCCTTCCTTCCCCTACAGATTTATATGGTCTCCATGCCATTCTACTTTGATACATTATCTCTAAATGACTAAACCACCTCAACAACCTCTCTTCAGCCCTCTGACTAATACTTTTATTAACTCCACACCTCCTAATTTCCACACTCCGAATTTTCTGCATAATATTTACACCACTCATTGCCCTCAGACAGGACATCTCCACTGCCTCCCTTGTGATTTCATAGCCATTCTTTGTTCTGACACCAATATTAGGTACTGAAATAGTACTCAAATAGTCACAATCACACTGACAGTTGAACATTTTTACCTGCCTGGGTCATTTACTATTGTCTAGAAATACGTACAAAGTATTTATAGGTCCCAGCAATGTTTTAGACATGCTGGAGTATGCCTTAACCCTTAAACTGTCCAAATGTAGCTCTACGTTCACTCTTGTAGTGCTCTGAATGTAGATCTACATTTTATTTTACATACTTTCAAATGCAAAAAAAAAGTAGATCTGTGTTCGGAGCGCTACGCGAGTGAACATGGATCTACGTTTGGAGAGTTCAAGGGTTAAAGCACGGTGTTACGACAAGTGTCAGTAAACTGTTGACAGGCAGTGACATTTGATGAATGTGCACTCAGGGAACCCTCGCTTTATTTGTTTTCACTGTTACACACGAACATGTGTGTCTGTCTGTTTGTCTGTCTATCTGGCTGTCTTTGCTTATCTGTCTGTCTAGCTCTGCTTATCTGCCTGCCTGTGTGTGCCTGGAGTATATATGAAACTCCTTGAAGAATGGTGTTATGTCAAGTGTCGGTAAACTGTTGACAGCCCAGTTTTAATTTAAGTTTAATATGTTTATTATGCGCCCCATACCCATCCTGTGGGCGGTAGTCAAAAGATTACAGAGGTACATAATTGGTCCAGGGACTGGACTCCAAAGTCTTGATAGCTGAGCAAGTTACAAAGGTAATGAACTAAATCTGGTTACAATAATGAGAATTAACAAAAGTAATGAGCTCCAGGTACAGCTGGTCACAATCATGGCAAGTTTCAAAGATAATGAATCGTGAACACATGATTACAATCATGAACAATTTTCAGAGTAATGATCAGTTAACAAACATTGTAGGGAATTCATCCATTATCAACAGACGTTGCTAGGTGCCTGTCCCTCCTTGGCAGGACAGCCAGACAGCCATTGCAAACAGCAGCAGGTTGCACCAGGAACTGCTGCTTGCAGGAGCACCATCAACCCTCTCCAAGAGGTCCAAGAGGCCAGCGACTCTGCTACTAGCAGCCCGAGGGAGAGCCGCCCTGGGGACGTGTCAGCGTCCTGGTGGACGCCAAGTTGACTGACGATCCCTGGCCCTTTGTAAAGGTGAAGGCGCGGCAGCGGCAGCTGTCACCTACTTCTGCTGGGAGGGGCTGTTGGTTGTTTCCACCTGGAGCCCTCCGGGTGCCCAGACACCCACCGTGTGCATGGATGTTGAAGCTTGAGGAACTGAGTGCACACTGCCTGTGGCACACCTGACAGCTGCCTTGCGGTCGAACTCCACGGCGCTGTCCGTGCAGTGGCATCCCTGATGTGGGCTGGGAGGGAAAAGTACCCTCTACAGTTGTGGTGGTGCTGGGAGTTGGGTGGGTGAGGCGGGGAAGTTGAATGGTTGAGGCACGAGGGTGAACAGTTATGAAAGGGTCATTGTTTATTACACACAGGGCAAGGCCCGGGGAGGGGGGTGAGGGGCACTTCCCTACACAATGATTGTGCATTGTTGTTCACACTGTCCTGCCTACAACAAACACAACATTCATTCGTTTCCCATACACATCATGAAAGATATGGGCATGTGACTCGCCAAAATCAACATTGTTCGCTTCATTCCCACCCGCACACCCCACCCCCTCCCCCCCAGCAGTGTGGGGGGGAGGCACTGCCTGGTCCCAAACTGGACACTCTCACCACACCCAACTCGCTGAAACGATGCACTGGGATGTCCTCTCACTGCTCTGGAATCTTCTCAAGGCATTCACACAGAGTCCTGCTCAGTCATGCCCTGGTCAGCCCCTTGGATCAGGAGCTATCCTTGAAAATCCTGCAGCTAGCCCACCACACGTCCTGCTGTGTCGGCCATGTTGGTGGAGCGGTGACAGCCCAGTGACACTTGATAAATGGGCACTGCTGCAGGGAACCCTTACTTTATTTGTTTTCACTGTTACACACAAACATGTCTGTTTGTCTGTCTGTCTGTCTGTCAAGCTCTGCTTATGTCTGTCTAGCTCTGTTTATCTTTCTGCCTGTGTGTGTCTGTCTTTCCGTCTGTTGTCTCTGTCTCAGGGAGCGGCTGTAAAACTGTTGGTTTACGAGCAGCTCCCTGATTCCTGAGCAAGTAAAAATGCATATTGCATCATGGTTATTTATGTCTTATAGTATCTACAAACACAGTATAGCACTTTGCCTGGAATTTTTGGGTTATCCTAGGTAATTTACACTATGTTTAATAACTGTACTTATGTGTACATGTGAGAGAGAGACAGATATAGCAGGAAGATATATATGTATATACTATATCAATAAAATTAGTTCATATCATGAAAAGATATGCATTTCTTTATTGTTATTAAGAGGTGTGAGAATTAGCATTAAGAGGTTAGATACACCTGTACACTTATTAGTTTGTAGATGAATGGTTCAGAGAACCGACATGTTGATAAATTAGACACATGTGCATTAGACACATGTCGGTTCTCTGAACCATTCATCTACAAACCTGTCAGACACTGCAACTTCTTGGGATCTTAATACTTAGGAATTCTTCGCTTGCCTAATTCTTGGGCACAACCTACTTCCACAATGAACAAATGTGACACTACCTATGACTGCTACACCTCTCCTGCCATACGGTTTATAAGCTGCTTCTCCGCTCATCTGCCGTATTCTACTCAAGATTGATGGACTGAACACATCGACTCAAGGTTGAGGGACTGATTACCTCATTCTCCTCCTGTTCTTCAAGTTTCTCCTATGTATGGACTGATGAAGCCACTGTGTGGCGAAACGTTTCCTCAATAAAGATACCCAAGAGTTGCACATGTGTCTAATTTATCAACTTATTAGTTTAAATCTTATGTTCCATAACCTCCAACATTAGCTGCATTACATCTACAATGCATTTCCGAATACTTGTCTCAGAATTTAAGTACTGCACCATAAATGTTGATGTCATGAGGTATATCTGCAGCCTCTTGAATTCTGTGCCATCACTATATATTATGAAGCTGAAGCCTTGTAATAAATGAGTGCAAACAATTCGAAGTAGTAACCAGGATCTGAGCCTGCAGTCTGGCGAGATTTGGATTACCAGCACAGCTCAGTGGCTAAGCACATCAGGCTGGTAATCCCAGGACCATAATGCAGCAGGTTTGAAACCCAATAACTATGCTGAATTATTAATATTTTTGTTTTGACCTGATAAAACTGGCAGTAATATTCTAATTGCAACATAAACAACGAGACGAACACATTACAATGGGAAAGTACGAGTATTTTCCTTCCAGTAATAATTCTATTTCTCTGGCTACACTTGCACTCTACGATTTTATACTTAAATACATTTGCTCCATCTTGATATCACTCTTTTAATACAAACTGCTTGATCATTCTTTGTTTTTTCCCATATTTGTACTTTTGTAGGTAGTAGGTTGGTAGGCAGCAACCACCCAGGGAGGTGCTACAGTTGTGCCATATAAGTGCCAACCAGAAACCTGCTAAAACTATACACCCTGCAGGAGTGCTAGCCTTTTCTTTATCTCATGAACACATGACAGGTAAATCTTACAATCTACTTCTTACATTCAATACACACTTCAAGCATGTGAAAGTGTGTGTGTGTGTGTGCATTTATACTGTAATATTATCACATTGTTTCAGTCTTCTACATTACTTAGTAGTTCTTAATCCTATAGTTTTCCGTGAAATTCAAACCTGGTTGCTTGTCAGGTGATCTGGCTGTCGATGAGTGGGTAAAAATGGAGAGTAGTGGTTTATTATTAGTATTATTACAACATTATTATTAGTGTTATTTTATTTTCATGGGAAGCACTAAACCCACAGGGGTCATACAATGTATGGGAATAGAATGGTGCAGTTCATCATATTGGTAGTTGGCAAGGCTCCTTAGGGCATCTTTGTGGTGGATGAGTGTCTAGAATGGGTGTGCTGGTACGTAGGATAGTGTAGCATATGTAGTGATAATGTCTAGTTTCCCTGATCCCTGTTATAAACTGAAGATGGGTTGAAAGCTCGTAAGTGTGACTTCAATGACTTTCTCGTGCAAGAACATTGTATTTTGTGTAGGAGTTTCAAACTTTCCTGGATGATGTGGTGACTGTCATACCTCTACAACAGACTTCACTTTCACCCACTGATCGCCAGCCCTGTCACATATAAACCTGCATATACACATGTACCATACCTTCTCTTGTAACAAGTACACTTGGATCCAAATGGTGTACCACTGACAATGGTGATGGAATGACATGTTCTATGCTTTTCTTGGGACAACATTTTACTCTGTGTAGCTTTCTCAAGTCATGATTTAATAAAGCTCTAGCCATAGTGAAATGTTTCTTCAATAAAAGCTTATTTTGGAACATGTGTCTTTTCAACATGATGTACACTGATCTGTAGAAGACAGGCTCTGACTAAGGTTGAACCACACAGATCTCTTCTACCAGTGTTTATTTTTTCTGTCCAAGTGGCTCATCACTTTTGGTCAATATGTTTATGACATGCTAATTTGAGAGTACGGTTAAATAAATAAATACGCAAGTGTAATAAACACTGGTCAATGGCTCAACAAACCCGCTGAGAAAATAAGATATTAGATAGAAAGAGTACTGTACTGTATTTTTCAGCCCACAATTGAGGCTGTCTTTGGCAGACTAACAAGTGTACAAGGGATACGCAAGCTACCTCACTTCAGAAACATTAATCAGGCAGGTGTACGAACTAGGTCAGGTGCAGGAACTAAGTCACATGCACATGACCTTTGTATAAATTTTATAACTCTTGTACACATGTCAGTCTGCTGAAGAGAACTTTGGATATATTACTGCATTTAAAAGTCTCAAATAAAATTTCTTTCATATGAAAGTCTTAAATGTACTTTCTTTAACTCAAAGAAAGTTACAGGTATTCTATTTTATGAAGGAGATGTACAGTAGGACCCCAACTTATAATGTTTCAGGTTATCATGGTTTGCACTTATGGCATTGACATTTTGAAACCAATTAATTATGTACTTATAAACAAGTTAATTGCAAATGAATAAGACACATGTAACACCTGGGCATTTTTATTGTGGACACATTTTGCCAATCAGTAGCAACATGTCTCCACAATAAAGACACCCAAGTGTTACACATATGTCTAATTCATCTACTTGATGGTTTTGTATACAACTGATCTATAAGTGATTTGCACAGCTGATGGTACAGACTACTTTTGATGGTGAAGGTGAGGAGGATGCATTACAGTTAAGCTGGTAGCTGGATAAACATTTCCCCAATGCTTTGCTCACTCTCACCTCTGTGTTTTGACTGCATTTTTGGAGGATTTATTTTGGAAAACAGTCATGCATCATGACTGAAAAGTGCAAAAGTAGTCTTAGTGATACCCAAGTTGACATAATAGAGCTTTCTGAACATTGAGTGTGTATATGACTTAAACAGGTTGACCATTGCAACTATTATTAAGGACAAAAATTGTACATGCATTTTGCTGTCTATGCAACTGAAAAGGCATAATGAAGTTACATATTGGGGAGGAATTTTTAAGGCAAAATTAAGGATAAGGAACACATTAATCCATTTTACATCATTTCATATGGGAATATAAGTTCTGAAAGCCAAGACTCAACTTACAATGAATTTTTGGGAATGTATTAACATCATAAATTGAGGATCTATTGTATACTGCATTTCTCTAATTCAAAATTAAAAAACTTTGCCCTATATGCAGTATTAACAGAAAAAAGTTATGCTATATGCAAAAAGTTAGTGGATAAAGGTTTAGATAATTATTTCTCATCTGAAAAATGAGACAATACTCTTTCCTTGTTACTACGGATCACCACAAGTTCTTGATACGTTTACTATATGTTACTAGGGTGAAAAATAACAAGAGCAGAAATACCTGAGAACTTTGGTTCATTTACACACATTCTCAGAGGAGCTAGTTCTTTTGAATCTGTGTGTAATTGCATAAAAGTGCTTAGATGTTTCTCTTGCTATTTTTCAATTAATTTTTTTTTCATATTTAAAAACCACATATATACACTCTTTATCTTAGCACTAACGAATGTCTGTGAAATCTGTTTTGAGTGTTAATAACCTCATTGTTGAAGCACCTTAAGGAATAGCAAACCTTATTTCCAATCTGCCTTATTATCTCTATATAAATACATTACCAACCTATTATTGTGTAACATATGAACTTATAATGAAGTTATTAGTATTATAATATAAAAAACACAGCACTTTGAAATTCTATTACAAACTGATGTTAGAAAATATATACTCATCAGAACCTTGTTATAGGAATTCTAGGCCAGGGGTACACCATGAGTGCCACCTCCTCCAGGTCCCTGATGAAGAGCTTCACCCACAACTGTGCCAGCGGATCTGGGCTCAGCGGCAGCTTGGATGATGTGGACCTAGGGTGAGCGAGGATGGCCTCAGGATTACCTCAGGGGCGTCTTTGTCGAGACATTCGTTGGAGGAAACACCCTTTGAAGGATGCCAGGCGCACGTCAATCTCCCCCTCTTCCAACTGAATAAAAAATGAGCATTTTGTGTTCTGTACTTAAAGTAGGAATTACAGTAGACCCCCGCCTTATGATATTAATCCATTCCTGAGAGCTCATCGTATGATGAAATTATTGTAAGGTGAATTAATTTTCCCCATAAGAAATAATGGAAATCAAATTAATCCGTGCAAGACACCCCAAAGTATGAATTTTTTTTTTTTTCATGAAATATACATTTCCCTACAAAGAAAACAATGAGACATGCACAATAACTACATAAATAAATGTTAAAATGACACTTATCTTTATTGAAGAGTATTGATGAGTGATGAGACACTTTTTCTTGAACACTCTGGGATTTTTAGAGTGATACATGAGTAAAAGCTTCACTTTGCAATCCCCACTAGCATTACAACAAAACATGAGAGTTAGCCTGTCTTTCACAATCTTGTGTCCTGGGAGTGTCTTTTCCTCCTGAGTAATGTAGGTCCTGTTTGGCATTGTCTTCCAGAACAAGCCTTATCACACTGTGTATGCCACTACAATTCTTAAATCTCTCAAACCAACCTTTGCTGGCCTTAAATTCACCAATATGAGCACTAGTTCCAGGCATTTTTTCCTGTTCACCTGGGTGTTAGTCAACTGTTGTGGGTCGCATCCTGGGGGACAAGATTAAGGACCCCAATTCAATTCAATTCAATTCAATTCAATTCAAATTCAATTCAATTCAAAGTTTATTCTCTATAAAGATTACAATGTTGAATTTACAGAATTTGGTTGTTGTGTGGTTTACATGTAGTTAAATAATGATTACAGAGTGTACCACTAGAACGCCTGGAGTATCATAGGATTCATTATTTTAAGATTGAGATTAATATTTCTGTTTATGGTCAAATGGGTGAGTGAGTGTAAGTGTGAACCACCAGGTGGTATTCGTGTAGTTAGTTGATGGGGTTTATCAGGGAGATAAGATGTTTTCTAATGGTAGTTTTGAAGGTGATGAATGTGTCTGCAGTTCTAGAGTTCTCAGGTAGGGTGTTCCAGATTTTAGGGCCTTTGACATACATTGAATTTTTGTAAAGGTTTGTCGGACATGGGGAATGTCGTAGAGATGTTTGTGTCTGGTGTTATGTCTGTGGGTTCTGTCACAACTATCAAGAAAGCGTTTAAGTAAAGGGTTTTGATATTGGAGTTTAAGGTCCTGTAGATGTAGATTGCACAGTAGTAAGTGTGGATGTACTGAACGGGGAGTAAGTTTTAGATCTATGAAGAGTGGGGGGTGTGTTGCCAGGGATGGGATTTAGGGGATTATTCTTACTGCAGCTTTTTGTTGGGTTATTTGGCTTTAGGTGTGTTGCTGCATTTGATCCCCAAGCACAAATAGATAGGTGAGGTATGGATAAATAAGTGAGTGGTATAGTGTGAGAAGGGCATTTTGTGGCACGTAGTATGGGATCTTGGAGAGGTTTCCCAACTGTTTTGGATACTTTTTTGGTTATGTGTTGGATATGGGTGCTAAAATTCAGGTTGTTGTCAAGGTATAGGCCTAGGGAATTTGCCCTCATTATGTCTGGTAATTAGAGTGTTGTCGTTTCTTAATTTTAAATTTTGTGTATCTCCTGCTCTGCTCCCAAAAACATAATATAGTAGGTTTTGTCAGTGTTAAGCGTAAGTTTTTTGGGCTGTCATCAAGTCATATTTTGATCAGCTCCTCGTTAACAATGTGTTGAGGGTGGCCAAGATTAGGGTGAGAGATGACATAAGTCGTGTCGTCAGCAAAGAAAATGGGTTTCAGGGTTTAATACGTTTGGAAGATCATTGATGTATATGAGGAAGAGCAAGGGACCAAGGACATTCCCTGCGGAACTCCAGTATCAAGTGGCCATGTTGTTGATGCTGTGTCTTAATGGTAAACATACTGATACCTATTAGTAAAAGGGAAGATTTTTAAATAAGCAAGCGCATGGCCCTTTATACCGTAATGGTCAAGTTTGTGGAGTAGGATGTTGTGGTCTACTGTGTCAAAAGCTTTTCTTAGGTCAATAAAAATTCCTAGTGGATATTCCTTATTTTCGAATGCTGTGTAAAGCAGATCTAGCATTTTTATGATTGCATCATTAGTGCTTTTATTTTTCCTAAATCCAAATTGGCAGGGGTTGAGTATGTTTTGTGCTGTTATAAATGAATATAGTCTCCTGTGCACGAGTTTCTCAGAGATTTTGGATAGCAATGGTAAGTTTGATATTGGCCTATAGTTGTTTAAGTCTGTAGGGTCACCACCTTTATGTATTGGTGTAACCCTTGCCATCTTGAGTAGTTTCGGGAAGGTGCTAGTTTCTAGACAGTCCTCGATGATGCACTGGCTTTCTTGGGTTATCCTGGGTGGCTAACCCTCTGGGGATAATCATTTCTCGGTAATTGTTTCCCGTTCAGCCACATGTGGTGCAGCAACAGCTGACCATGGTGCAGCAACAGCTGACCGTAGTGCAGCAACAGCTGACTGGTCCAGCAACAGCTGACTGGTCCAGCAACAGCTGACTGGTCCAGCAACAGCTGACTGGTCCAGCAACAGCTGACCGTGGTGCAGCAGCAGTTGACTGTGGTACGATAGTATTTCTCAGCCTTTTTACCACAGGGTTGGCACTAGAAGCTTTCTTTGGGCCCATGGTGGCTTATTTAGCAGTTACAAGCACTATAAACAATGGAATAATACAAAATGTATCAAATGTATGCATGCAACCGGCTATCCTGGCTTGTAAACAATGACGGCAGTCCAGCTGATGCGCACAGGCTGGACGGACAAGTTTGGGAGGAATAACGTTTGGCGAGTTTTTTATCGTGAGGCGAGGCAAAATTTTTGCATTGAAATGTATCGTATAGCGGATTTAACATAACGCGATGCCATCTTATGGCGGGGCTCCACTGTACAGTACATATTATAAAGTGAAAATATTTCACTGTATTGCATGACATATTTCAGAAATAAAACAGTGTACATAATATTCAATGATAAATGCAGATGAATGAAGTATATGTGTGTAGACTATGACTCAACACATCTAAAAAGTGTGTGAAGCTTAAAATGGTCCAAAATTTCTCTCTGGCCCAGATCAATGGTAAAAACCTGCATTAGTTTTGTAATAATTCTCATTTCTATCCCTGACTTCATATCATACAAAAGTAAGCATGCATCTCAATTAAATAAGCTTAAGGTAAAAACTATTATTAAATTTATCAAGATGTAGAATGTACGTGTGTGTACTGATAATGTTTTAACTGGGTAACTTAGAATTTCACTGAAAAATAATGCTATATTTATATTTACTGTGGTAGTGTAATACACATTTGTGAAATCAGTTTTAGTTTGATTTGATAGGTTGACCTCTATCTTTCAAAGAAATGTTACTTTATTTGACTTATATGAACAGAGTAGTCAATTTATTTAACATTTACCCTTCATTTATTTGTGCACTTTACCTTGTCTCTTCGACATCTAGTTACTATACTGTATGTAAAACTCACCTCATCATGAATGTAGATGTCCAGATAGCAAGAGGGTGAGACACACTGCCGGACACAACGGGTGTGATGCAACCCCCGTAGCTCTAAGCATCGTGGTGACTGTGCACATGCTACTTCATACTCAGACCACACCTTTTCCTAAAAATGGCAGGATACATTATCCCACATTACGATAATATGATGCGATGATTATTTTTAAAATTTCAAACTAATATGGATTATTTTAGATAAAATAATAATACAGCCTCTCCTCACTTAGCAACGTACTTGTGTACCGATGACTTGGACTTACAATGGGCTCTCTGGCCAGTATGCATACCTATAATACATATTAGAGCTGATTTCCTCTATTCTGTTTATTACAAGATACAGTACACTAATAAAAGCAGGGGAGGATAGTGTTGGAATGGTTGGTATTTTTGTTTAATAAATGTATGAAAGAGGGAAAGGTACCTAGGGATTGGCAGAGAGCATGTATAGTTCCTTTATATAAAGGGAAGGGGGACAAAAGAGATTGCAAAAATTATAGGGGAATAAGTTTACTGAGTTATAGGTAGTAGGTTGGTAGACAACAACTGCCCAGGGAGGTACTACCGTCCTGCCAAGTGAGTGTAAAATGAAAGCCTGTAATTGTTTTACATGATGGTAGGATTGCTGGTGTCCTTTTTTGTCTCATGAACATGCAAGATTTCAGGTACGTCTTGCTACTTCTACTTACACTTAGGTCACACTACACATACATGTACAAGCGTATATATACATACCCCTCTGGGTTTTCTTCTATTTTCTTTCTAGTTCTTGTTCTTGTTTATTTCTCCATGGGGAAGTGGAACAGAATTCTTCCTCCGTAAGCCATGCGTGTTGTAAGAGGCGACTAAAATGTGGGGAGCAAGGGGCTAGTAACCCCTTCTCCTGTATATATTACTAAATTTGAAAGGAGAAACTTTCATTTTTCCTTTTGGGCCACCCCGCCTCGGTGGGATACGGCCGGTGTGTTGAAAGAAAGAAAGAAAGAAATTTACTGAGTATACCAGGAAAAGTGTATGGAAGGGTTATTATTGAAAGAATAAGAGGTAAGACAGAGAGTAGGATTGCAGATGAGCAAGGAGGTTTTAGAGTGGGTAGGGGATGTGTAGATCAAGTGTTTACATTGAAGCATATATGTGAACAGTATTTAGATAAAGGTAGGGAAGTTTTCATTGCATTTATGGATTTAGAAAAGGCATATGATAGAGTGGATAGAGAATCAATGTGGCAGATGTTGCTAGTGTATGGAATAGGTAGTGAGTTACTAAATGCTGTAAAGAGTTTTTATGAGGATAGTGAGGCACAGGTTAGGGTGTGTAGGAGAGAGGGAGATTACTTCCTGGCAAAAGTAGGTCTTAAATAGGGATGTGTGAAGTCACCATGGTTGTTTAATAATGTATATTTATAGATGGGGTTGTATAGGTAGTAGGTTGGCATACAGCAACTGCCCAGGGAGGTACCACTGTCCTGCCAAGTGATTGTAAAATGAAAGCCTGTAATTGTTTTACATGATGGTAGGATTGCTGGTGTCTTTTTTCTGTCTCATAAACATGCAAGATTTCAGGTACATCTTGCTACTCTTCTACTTACACTTAAGTCACACTACACATGCATGTACAAGTGTATATATATACACACCCCTCTGGGTTTTCTTCTATTTTCTTACTAGTTCTTGTTCTTGTTTATTTCCTCTTATCTCCATGGGGAGGTGGAACAGAATTCTTCTTCCATAAGCCATGCGTGTCCTAAGAGGTGACTAAAATGCCAGGAGCAAGGGGCTAGTAACCCCTTCTCTTGTATATATTACTAAATGCAAAAGGAGAAACTTTCATTTTTTCTTTTGGGCCACCCCGCCTCAGTGGGATACAGCTGGTGTGTTGAACAAAAGAAAGAAAGATGGGGGTTGTAAAAGAAGTAATTGCTAGAGTGTTGGAGAGAGGGGTAGGATTAAATTATGGGGAATCAAATACAAACTGGGAGTTGACACAGATACTTTTTGCTGATGATACTGTGCTTATGGGAGATTCTAATGAAAAGCTACAAGGGTTAATGGAAAAGTTTGGGAGGGTATGTAAAGGTAGAAAGTTGAAAGTGAACATAGATAAGAGTAAGGTGATGAGGGTATCAAACAATTTAGATAAAGAAAAATTGGACATCACATTGGAGAGAGGGAGTGGGGGAGAAGTAAATGTTTTCAGATATTTGGGAGTTGACTTGTCAGCAGATGGGTTTATGAAGGATGAGGTTAACCACAGAACTGATGAAGGAAAAAAGGTGAGTGGTGCATTGAGGTATCTGTGGAGACCAAAAAATTATCCATGGAGGCAAAGAAGGGAATGTACGAAAGTATAGTGGTACCAACACTCTTATACGGGTATGAAGCTTGGGTTGCAAATGCTGCAGCGAGGAGGAGGCGGCTGGAGGCAGTGGAGATGTCTTGTCTATGGGTAATGTGTGGTGTAAATATTATGCAGAGAATCTAGAGTGTGAAAATTAGGAGGAGGTGTGGAGTTACTAAAAGTATTAGTCAGAGGGCTGAAGAGGGGTTGTTGAGGTGGTCTGGTCATTTAGAGAGAATGGAACAAAGTAGAATGACTTGGAGAGCATATAAATATGTAGCGGAAGGAAGGCAGGGTAGGAGTCATCCTCAAAAAGGTAGGAGGGAGGGGGTAAAGGAAGTTTTGTGGGTGAAAGGCTTGGACTTCCAGCAAGCATATGTGAGCATGTTAGATAGGAGTGAATGAAGATGAATGGTTTTTGGGACCTGATGAGCTGTTGGAGTGTGAGCAGGGTAATATTTTGTGAAGGGATTCAGGGAAACCGGTTAGTCGGACTTAAGTCCTGGAAATGGGACGTACAATGCCTGCACTTTAAAGGAAGGGTTTGGGGTATTGGCAGTTTGGAGGGACTTCTAAACTGTCATATCTGAGTGCCTCTGCAAAGACAGTGATTATGTATGAGTGAGATGAAAGTGTTTATTGATGATGAAAGTATTTTCTTTCTGGGGATTTTCTTTATGGGTCACCCTGCCTCGGTGGGAGATGACTGACGTGTTAAAGAAAAAAAAAGTACACTTCTGTGTAAACATTTAAAAATATAATAAAAATGTTATAAATAGCACAAAGGTGACATTAAAACAATATCAAAGATGGTTGACACAAACCCACTAACATTATAGTATACTCCTTGCTTAGCAACAAATTTGTTTACCGATGTGGTCTCAGGAACGGAATTCCATCTTGAAGGAGGGGCTGTATGGTACCCTACAATTTTTTTTTTTAACATGTCGGCCATTTCCCACCGAGGCAGGGTGACCCAAAAAGAAAAAAAACTTTCATCATCATTCAACACTTTCATCATCACTCATACATAATCACTGTCTTTGCAGAGGCACTCAGATACAACAGCTTAGACATACATACATAACAAAATTCCTCTTCAAAATTCTTGACCATTTTGATACAATGTGATATTAATTATGTCCACAAAGCTGAATTCTTATTCTCATCTTGATATAGTATATAGAATGATCCATTCACAAGCTATTATATGGAGCTTCTCTCCTTTAATAAGGTCACTAGATATTGTGGAAATCAGGTAAATAAATCTTACTAGATATATTCTATATATTCACACATGTTTTGTTGTCAATCTTTTGGCTACAAATAAATTTTTTGTCTCTCTCCATTCTCCTCTTCTATAGCCTACATCAATTTTGCCTAAGATTTTTTTAAGTGTGTATCTGATGTACTTTTTTTTGTTATTCTAATAGTCATGACACGATGTTTCTTATATCACATAAATGTTAAACCTAAAACCCAATCTAACTTTATTATTTTTTAAATACACTACCTAACAGAATCACTACCTAACTGAATGCAACCATATGACCTGTCTTTGTAATACTCACTTGTGCTTTATAGTAATCTGTTTACATTAATGTTTTATCACTGATTTCATCATTGCTTAGTTAATCTTAAGTTAATTTTAAGCCAGCCCGTAATGCTATGCATAGTATAAGTGGCTTTGGCATGCTGCTCTTATCTGTATTTTTTTGTACCTCTGTATGTGTGCTCAAATTGGAAATAAATAAATAAATAAATAAATAAATAAATGATAAACAAAAATTAGTCAGAAAGACAATTGCAGATTTGTAAACTTACTCAAATTAATATCCTATAGAGGATAATGACTTTATGTATATGTAAATTAAAAAACAAATTATCTATTCAGCTATTTTCAATATATAAATGCAGTGTCTTATGTTCTGCATTTGTTCAGCAACATTAATATATTTTAATTTACTATAATTATGAAATCCTTATACAGTTCTGCATTATTTTTATTATTGATGTAAAATTACATTCATTGGGAAGCATTAAATTTGTAAGGCCATATAGTACCTGTAGAACTGGAGACAATCAGGCTTGATCCAAGGAAGGAAAAGGTAGCTCTAATTCCTTAAATCAAGTGCCCTTCACCAACATCTAGCCACCCTCTTGAAGGGATACAGTGTTGATAAATTAGACACATGTGCAACTCTTGGGTATCTTTATTGAGGAAACGTTTCGCCACACAGTGGCTTTATCAGTCCATACAAAGGAGAATCTTGAAGAACAGGAGGAGAATGAGGTAATCAGTCCCTCAACCTTGAGTCGATGTGGTCAGTCCATCGACTCAAGGTTGAGGGACTGATTACCTCATTCTCCTCCTGTTCTTCAAGATTCTCCTTTGAATGGACTGATGAAGCCACTGTGTGGCGAAACACTTCCTCAATAAAGATACCCAAGAGTTGCACATGTGTCTAATTTATCAACATGTCGGTTCTCTGAACCATTCATCTACAAGGGATACAGTACTGTAACCTCAATAATTTCACAACAATAAGAAAGTACTGTATATGATAATAAAGCCACTATGGACCTTCCACTGGGACTGAACACATGATAAGTATCACCATAGATTAACTGGAACTGACATCAAATTAGGACTTGATTTTCAGGTGAGACCTAATTTTAGAATGTTTTGTGGAAATACCACAAATTCATTTTGCGATGAACCTTAACCTAGACACACATCTTTGAAATTATTTAATTTTCAAAACACAAAGAGCAACTTGGTTTAACCCTGCCATTACATTTACTACTGTCTCACCTTATCATTGGCTTTTACTACTTTCATATTCACTCATTACATGACCATGGTCCAAGATGGACAGAACTGTCATGCATTTTATTTTAACTGTATGGACTTGTTGTTAATTATGACTGGGTATATACATACAATATTCACATTAGGGAAAGAATTTACTGTAACAAGGCAAGCAAAATGTAAAGATATTTAGCATAGTTCTCCAAAAAGGTTAATAATATTTTAAAAATACCAGTAAAAAGTATACAGTAGCACACTTTAAAAGAGCCATACAGTACAACAGAATATGCACTGTTTCACACAGAAACCAATGCCACCTTATTTCTCAGTCCTCCTTTCAACATACTGTACGTATAGTATTTTTACTGAAGCTTTTCAGTCATTCAGATTTTTCAGCATTCTATGCAGTTTACATTATTAATTTATATTATTATTATATTCTTCAGAAAGCTCTAAAACCTAAGGGGCTATACAGCACCTAGGGAATGGAAGGTAATTAAGTTTGATCCAAGGAGAGGATAACCACATTTACTTGCATAAAGAGCCTTTCACCATGAAACATTTTCCTTTTTATTCTCTCTTGAACATGAACTTTAGTACTGTATTCTTTTCTATCAAAATTATTGTATATGGTTTGATAAGTGAGCACTTGTTAATTTCTCAATAATTATGAAATCAAAATTATTACAGTACGTATTATATATTTTTATTATTATTATTATTATGATTATAAACTATTTTGAAGATAAATACTGTATGTCTCTTAAAGAATTTTGTTATAGAATTATGGCTGAGAGTACAAATAGTCCATTTATCACATTAATTTTTAAAACTAAGCTATAAATTTAATATACAGTATCATCACAAAAAAGAAAAACTACATTCATTAGAAAAATTGTTTCTGTTTAGGGACAATGGTCATCCTTATGATATAAAACTTTGATGCTAATTTATTATTTGAAATCTGACAAAAATAAAAAGACCCAAGTTGTGTGCATAGCTCAGTTTGAACATACATTGGTAACAGATTCCTTATAAGGGAACTGTGTGAAGGTGTATGTGACAGTCTGGGCGTGAGCACAGGCGACAAGCATCAACGCAGCCAAGCTTGCTAATGATGCCATCGCTGCTGCTGCAGCTGCTGCTACCCTCCGTCCAGGAAAACTGCTTCTATCACTAGGGCAATAAAATAAAATAAAATTATTTATCATATACATACATATGAATAATATACGTACAGAGAACCCAATATGTAACATATAGAAGTTCCTCGTCAGTTTTATTATGAAAAATATGAAGTTTTTAGAAGGCGCTGGACAGGCACCTAAAGTCAGTACTTGATCAGCCGGGTTGTGGTTTGTACACTGGTTTACGTGCTTTGGTTTACCACTTCAGAATATACATATGGACACACCATCTGTTATATACCACTGCTGTCATGCCATAACTGTTTACCTGGAGTTTACCTGGAGAGGGTTTCAAGGATCAAGGCCCCAGCAGCCCCCCATGGCCCGGTCTGAGACCAGGCCTCATGGTGGATCAGGGTCTGATCAATCAGGCTGTTACTGCTGGCCACACGCAAGCTGATGTACAAACCACAGCCCGGTTGGTCAGGTACTGTCTTTAGGTGCCTGTCCAGTCCTTCTTGAAGACAGCCAGGGGTCTACTGGTAATCCCCCTTATGTATGCTGGGAAGCAATTGAACAGTCTTGGGCCCCGGATACTTACTGTATTGTCTCTCAGTGTGCTCATGGCACCCCTGCTGTTCATCAGGAAAATGTTGCATCTGCTGCCAAGTCTTTTGCTTTCATATGGAGTGATTTTCATGTGCAAGTTTGGTACCAATCCCTCCAGGACCTTCCAAGTGTATATTATCATGTATCTCTCTCGCCTGCATTCGAGGGAGTACAGATCAAGGTTCTTCAACAGTTCACAGCAGTTTAGGTGCCTTATCGCCCTTTATCACTCTCTTATTTACCCCTATCTCACCTATGGAATTTGTGCATGGGGCTCAACAACAATTAACCATCTCAGACCACTAATTACCCAACAAAAGGCTGCAGTTAGAATAACAAATTCTCACTACAGGCAACACACTCCACCAATATTCAAAACACTCAACCTACTCACCATACAAAACATCCATACTTATTATTGCACCTATTACATACATAGAACACTTAACTCTGATACTAACCCTCCCCTCAAACATCTCCTTGCCAACCTCAACAGAACACATGACCATAACACAAGGCACAGATCACTCTTTGATGTTCCTCGTGTCCATCTCACGCTATGCAAAAACTCAATGCACATAAAAGGCCCTAAAATCTGGAATTCATTACCTGTAAATATAAAAGAAACACTACCTGTTTATAAATTCAAGTCTCTTCTCAAAGTTCACTTACTCACTCAAAACCAAATAAATACTGAATAACTGAACCTTATAAATTGTATATCCAAAATGTTACTCACAATTATATCACATAAATGTTAAACCTAGGACCCAATCTAACTTTGTTATTTTTTTAAATACACTACCTAACAGAATACTCCATTCTACTGAATGAACAGCAATGCATGCAACCACATGACCTGTCTTTGTAATACTCATTTGTGCTTTATAGTTATCTGTTTACAATAATGTCTTATCACTGATTTCATCATTGCTTAGTTAATCTTAAGTTAATTTTAAGCCAGCCCGTAATGCTATGCATATAAGTGGCTTTGGCATGCTGCTCTTACCTGTATTTTTTTTGTACCTCTGTATGTATGCTAAAATTTCTAAATAAATAAATAAATAAATAAATGTGTGCTGTGAAAGTTCTTTGTACACTCTCCAGGTCTGCAATGTCGCCAGCTTTGAAGGGGGCCGTTAGTGTACAGTATTCCAGCCTAGAGAGCACAAGCAATTTGAAGGGAATCATCGTGGGCTTGGCGTCCCTAGTTTTGAAGGTTCTTATTATCCATCCTATCATTTTCCTAGTGGATGAAGTAGATACATTGATGTGGTCTTTGAAGGCAAGGTCCTCTGACATTATCACTCCCAGGTCCTTCACATTACTTTTCCGCTCTATTGCATGGTTAGAATTTGTGGTGTACCCTGACACATTTTTAATTTATTCAAGTTTTCCATATCTGAGTAGTTGAAATTTCTCCTCGTTGAACTTCATATTGTTTTGAGTGGCCCATTCGAAGATTTGGTTGATGTCCACTTGGAGTCTCGCAGTGTCTTCGATGGAGGTCACTGCCATGTGATCCGGGTGTCATCCGCAAAAGAAGGCACAGAGCTATGGTTTACATCTCTGTCTATGTCAGAAATGAGGATGAGGAATAGAATGGGAGCAAGTACTGTGCCTTGTGGAACAGAGCGTTTTACTGTGGCTGCCTGGGACTTTACTCTGTTTACTATTACTCTTTGTGTTCTATTTGTCAGGAAGTTGTAGAGCCATCTACCAACTTTTCCTGTTATTCCTTTATCCTGCATTTTGTGTGTTATTACACCATGGTCACACTTGTCGAAAGCTTTTGCAAAGTCTGTGCATACTACATCCGTATTTTGTTCATAATCTACAGCATCCAGGACCTTGTCATAGTGATCCAGTAGCTGGGACAGGCAGGAGCGACCTGCTCTAAACCCATGTTGCCCTGCGTTGTGCAACTGATGGATATCTAGGCGGTTGGCTATCTTACTTCTTAGAACCCTCTCAAAGATTTTTATGATATGGAATGTTAGTGCTATCAGTCTACTGCCACCTTTGTGGAGTGGGGCTATGTCTGTTGTTTTTAGTATGTAAGGGATGACCCGTGTCCATGCTTCCTCTCCATAAAATGCTGAAGGCACGTAATAGGGACTTCTTGCAGTTCTTGATGAACATGGAATTCCAAGAGTCTGGCCCTGGGGCAAAGTGCATGGGCATGTCATTAATTGCCTCTTCAAAATCTTGTGGAGTTATAATAATATCCGCGAGTTTTGGGATGACCAAATTTTGGGTTTCGTTCATAAAGAATTCATTTGGATTGTCGACCCTTAGAGTGGGCAGAGGATCGCTAAACACTGAGTCATATTGGGACTTCAGTACAGTGGACCCCCGGTTAACGATTTTAATCCGTGCAAGAGGGCTCATCGTTATGCGAAATAATCGTTATGCGAATGAATTTTCCCCATAAGAAATAATGGAAATAAAATTAATCCGTGCAAGACGCCCAAAAGTATGAAAAAAAATTTTTTTTACCACATGAAATGTTAATTTTAATACACACAAACTGAAAAAGGCATGCACAATTAAATGACACTTACTTTTATTGAAGATCTGGTGATGATTGATGGGATGGGAGGAGGGGGAGAGTGTGTTTAGTGTTTAGAAGGGGAATCCCCTTCCATTAGGACTTGAGGTAGTAAGTCCTTTTCTGGGTTACTTCCCTTCTTCTTTTAATGCCACTAGGGCCAGCTTCAGAGTCACTGGACTTCTTTCGCACAAGATATCTGTCCATAGTGGCCTGTACCTCTCGTTCCTTTATGACTTGCCTAAAGTGTTTCACAACATTGTCAGTGTAATAATCACCAGCACGGCTTGCAATAGCTGTGTGAGGGTGATTTTCATCCATGAAGGTTTGCACTTCAAGCCACTTAGCACAGATTTCCTTTATCTTTGTAGTAGGCAACTTCTTCAATTTCTCTCTCCCCTCCTCTGAACCAGTTTCCTCAGGTCTGGCTCTTGCTCTTGAAGTTGATCTATCAGCTCATCAGTGGTTAGTTCTTCATTGTCCTCCTCCACCAACTCTTCCACATCCTCCCCACTAACCTCCAACCCCAAGGACTTTCCAATGCCACAATGGATTCCTCAACTGGCACAGGATTCTCAGGGTTAGCCTCAAACCCTTCAAAATCCCTTTTGTCTACACATTCTGGCCACAGTTTCTTCCAAGCAGAGTTCAAGGTCCTCTTTGTCACTTCCTCCCAAGCCTTACCTATAAGGTTTACACAATTGAGGATATTAAAGTGATCTCTCCAAAACTCTCTTAGAGTCAGTTGAGTTTCTGAGGTCATTACAAAGCACCTTTCAAACAGAGCTTTTGTGTACAGTTTCTTGAAGTTGGAAATAACCTGCTGGTCCATGGGCTGCAGGAGAGGAGTGGTATTAGGAGGCAAAAACTTCACCTTAATGAAGCTATGTCCCCATAAAGTCGCTCTGCCACGTCTGTAGGATGACCAGGGGCATTGTCTAACACCAGGAGGCACTTAAGTTCTAATTTCTTTTCAGTTAGGTAATTTTTCACATTGGGGGCAAATGCATGGTGTAACCAGTTATAGAAAAATTCCCTAGTGACCCATGCCTTACTGTTTGCCCTCCACAGCACACACAATTATCCTTGAGGACATTCTTTTGCCTGAACGCTCTGGGAGTTCAGAGTGATACACTAATAAAGGCTTCACTTTGCAATCACCAGTAGCATTGGCACACATCAACAAAGTAAGCCTGTCTTTCATAGGCTTATGTCCTGGGAGTGCCTTTTCCTCCTGAGTAATGTAGGTCCTGCTTGGCATTTTCTTCCAGAACAGGCCTGTTTCATCAAAATTTAAACACTTGTTCAGGTTTCAGTCCTTCAGTTTCTATGTACTCCTTGAATTCCTGCACATATTTTTCAGCCGCTTTGTGGTCCGAACTGGCAGCCTCACCATGCCTTATCACACTATGGATGCCACTACGCTTCTTAAATCTCTCAAACCAACCTTTGCTGGCCTTAAATTCACTCACATCATCACTAGTTGCAGGCATTTTTTTAATTAAATCCTCATGCAACTTCCTAGCCTTTTCACATATGATCGCTTGAGAGACGCTATCTCCTGCTATCTGTTTTTCATTTATCCACACCAATAAGAGTCTCTCAACATCTTCCATCAATTGCGATCTTTGTTTCGAAAACACAGTTGAACCTTTGGCAAGAACAGCTTCTTGATTGTCTTTCTGGTGCCCACAATAGTAGCGATGGTTGATTGGGGTTTCTTGTACAGCTTGACTAGGTCGGCTATACGCACTCCACTTTCATACTTATCAATTATCTCTTTCTTCATCTCTATAGTAATTCTTACCCTTTGAGGTGTAGGGTTGGCACTAGAAGCTTTCTTGGGGCCCATGGTCACTTATTTTCCAGAAACAGCACCGAAAATACTG